AATATTATAAAAAAAGAAAAAAGCGGTTAGACGTAACGGTGCGAGCGGGCTGTATATAAAATAGGACCGTACGAGCTAATTATAAACCTTTATATCTCTCCATAAATAAACTCTACGTACTATAAGGCGTAAAATAAAACCTTAACTATTTATAGCTTTAGTTTAATAAAAAGGCCTTTAGACTTCTTTTTATAATTTAAAATAACTTTTTTTTTTATATATTAATCTTATATTTTTTTATATAGCTACCGCGGCTATAAAACTTTAAAATAAAAAAGTAGGTATTTACCTGGGCTTTTACCGTTTTAATATTATTATTTTTAATATTTATATCTATATATTTATTTTAACTACGCCTATATTTATTTATTTATTTAATTACTTATTATTTATAATCTTTTTTTATTTATAAGAGCTTAGAATACTAAGCCGAGATTTTCTTTTTTAATTATTTATTACGATATTTAATTAATTATAAATATTATATTAATTTAATACGATTCTTATTATAAAACGTATATATTTTATACGTTTTTTATTTATAATAATCCCGGCGTTATAATTATAATTATAATATTTTATATCGCTTTATCGTATCGCAATTACGTACCGATTTTTTTTTATATAATATTTATTATTTATAATTAAGTTAATAAAATAATTATTTATAAAAATATTATTAACGACGCATCGGTCCCTATTAGCGCCGGTATAAAAGCGTTAATTATAAAAATCGTTAATATTTTATTTTTTTAATATCTTATTTACGCCGCGTTACTTATTTATAAAAATACGGCCGGTATTAAGTTATTTTATAAAAAGCGTTAAGCCTTTTATACCGAGCTCGATTTTAAATTTAATATACTCGTTTTTTTCCTTTTTATAAATATTTTATAAGATTTTTTAATAAATACCCCGGAGTATAATTAGGCTGAAGACGATAAGTTTACGCCTTTTTTTAATTTTTATACCGACACCCTTAAGCTTTATATTAATAACTTTAATACCGCTTATATAACCCCCGGCCTTACGACTTTTTAATATAATAATAACGGTAATAAAATATTATATACTATATTCGAAAACGATTAAAGCCGCCCAGTCTTTAAATATTCCGTTTATAATAATAAATATTTTATTATATTTTAATTAACCATTTCCAACCTTTTTAACGTTTATAAACCCGTATATAATGATAATATAGCGTAGTTAAGTTATAATTAAATAAATAATTATATAATTAAAAAGATTATAAAGTAATTAAGAGAATATGAAGGTAACGAATTTCTTAATAAAAAAGTGTTTATTATTATTAATAATTACGATACGGATAAAAAAGTTTAATATAAAAAAACGGAGTATAATAACGCTTTTAATTACGTTACTAAGGAGGCCGCGATTATTTATAAAAAAAAAAAAAGGAATATATACTTTAAATAGACTACCTTAACGCCTAACGCTTTTAATACCCCTTATACTCTTTATATTCCTTAGACGTCCGGTGGCGTAAAGAAAACGTATTAAAATATCGACGAGCTCCGTATTAATATTTTTAAACGTTTTAATTTTAAATTTAAGAACGTAAATAAATTTTATTTAAAACGGGAAGTTTATAATTAAATTAAAAAGTATTTTATTAACGCCGTTTCTAAATATAAAAAAAATAGCTATAAGGTTTAATTTTTAAATAACGTATTTTAAAAGGTTTTTAAAACTTATGGCCGGGTTTATAAAAATTTTGTAAAAAGTAAAATATAAATTAACGAGCTTTTTATTTACGCCGCGATCCTCGGTAGTATTTATATAGGCGATAAAAAATACGTTAATAATAATATCGTTAGCGTTATTTTTAAAGTCGGTCGCTTCGATTTATTTACTTTTCGTAGTGTTAAAATTTATAGTATGGTATAAATTAATTAAATAAAATTAAATAAGGTTATTTGTTGTTTAAAAGAATATAAAAAATACGTCGATACCTTTACTAACGAAATAACGGTTTTAAAAACCCGTTTTAAAAAACGTAAATAATAATTTATTATCGATAATAATATAATAAATACGGTTATAAAAGACGTTACTATCGCTGCTTATTATATAAAAGTTATAAAAAAAATAATTAAATTTACCGCCACCGCGTAGGCTAATATATAAGCCGAGGTAAATAATATTTTAAAATTCTTTTAAATTAACTTTATTAATAAAATTAGTTAAATAAAAAAAATATATAATAAGATAAAAAAAAAAGTTAATATTAAAGATAAAAAGGTATAGGACCTCTATTAAAAGATTAATACCCTCGCCGCGGCTAAACTTAGTTTTATAACTCCCGCGAGATAAGTATTACCGTTATACCCGGCTTTTATATAGCCGACTCCCCCATCGCGTAAACGCCCCCCCCGGAGGAGTTAATAAAAAACCCGTTAAAAAAGGCTATTAATTTAAACGCTATTTTTAGTTTTCGTCGTAATAAAAATTAAATATCTAAATATAAAGTTACGATATATAAAAGATAAGAAATATTAAAAATTAAATTTATTTATTTTAATTAGGACGATTATTTTTATAAAAGGGGTATATATGATATTTCTTTATAGTTATTTAGTAGTTTAGTTACGTATTAAAACGACCTTATATATATAAACGGGCTCGTCGTATCCTTTTATTTAAAAAGGATAATAATAAAAATATATTTATTATAATATTTATTTTATTATTCGCTTTATTTTTTTATATTACTTTTCCGTATTACTTTTTAATTGTATTATTTTTTACGATTAATACGCTTAGCCCGTATATTTACCCGGCTAGCTTATAGTCTTACCCCCTTTGTCGGAGGTGCCCTCTGCTAGAGAGACTGTGTTAATTAATTTTCTTTATATTTAAAAAAAATAAAAAAAAGCTTAAACTTATAATTAATTATAAAAAACTTAATGAAATTATTAAAAAAAATTATTATTTATTACCCTTTATTATAAAACTTAAGGAAATATTATATAGAGCTTAATAGTTTATTATAATAAATTTTAAAAGAGTATTTAATTAAATTAAAATTAAAAAAAGAAATAAATAAAAAACGGTATTCCGAACCTATAGAGGATTTTATAAATACCTAATTATACTTTTTAAACTTATTAACGTACCTACTATATTTTAAATAATAATTAATTATATACTTAGGAAATACGTCGATATTTTTATAATCGTTTATTTTAATAATATCCTTATTTTTTCTTTTAATTTTAAAATATATAAAAAATATATTTATATAATATTTTAAAAATTTTAAAATATAAAACTCTTTATTAAGCCCGATAAATACGAATTTTATATATAAAAAATAAATTTTCTTAGCTATACGATTATATTAAAATAAATCTATATATAAATATTTAAAATAATAATAATTAAGGATTAGCCTATACTTTTTAACATTAAAAATATATAGTTATTTTTAAAATTTATTAATTTTTACCGACGATTTTTTAAAAACTATATTAACATTATTAAACTTTTTAATAATTTAATAAAAAAAAATATAACTTTTATTTAAAATAAAAAATATAAAAAAGCTTTTAATAAAATTAAAAACTTAATTATTTCGAAACTAATAATTATAATTCCGGATTTAAAAAAACCGTTTAAAGTCGAGATTAACAATTTAAACTTCGTTATAAAAACTATTTTAAAATAATAAAATTAATAAAAAATATTTTACCTTTATATATTTTATTTTAAAACGTTTTATAAAATAGAATTAAATTAATAAATTTACGATAAAAAATTAATAATTATAATCGAAGCTTTTAAAAAATAAAAACTATAGCTCTTAAAAACTAAATACGAAGTTATTATTTATATAAATTATAAAAACCTTACGAATTTTATAATAAATAAAAATTTAAATAAATAATAAATTAAATAAAACGAATTCTTATTAAAATTTAATTTCTAAATTATTTATTAAAAAGGTTTAAAAAACGGTAAAATAAACGCTTTTAATAAACGACTTAATTACGAAATTATGGTCCCTAAGGAAATATAAATAATCTTTAAATACGATAATAATAGTAATCTTATATTTATTATAAAACTTTTTATAATAATTAAAAAAGTTAATATTAGCCTATTTAAAAAAATAATTTTTAAATTTATTATAAAAATTTATAATACTTAAGCATATAATTATTAAAGTATTATAAAAATATAAAAACGGATTTATTAATATTATAATAAAACCGTTATAAAAGTAGAAATCGTTAAGGCTATTAAAAACTATAATATTTATAAAAAAAATAAAAATAGCTTTTATAAGCTTTATAAAAAGCTATAACTTTTACCGATGCCTTTAAAAGTATAGTATTTAATCTTTTAAGACTTTATTATTAAACTATTAAAATTTAAAAAACTATTAATAAATATATAATGCGATAATATTTTAATTATTATCGACCGACTTATTAAATTTACCTATTTTATATTATATAAAAAAATAAGTAATATTAAAGAATTAATATATACTTTTTTTAAAATAGTTATTATTAACTACGGTTTATTTAAAAAAATAGTTTCTAATAAAAATAAGTTATTTACTGCTAAGTTTTAAAAGTTTTTAATTTTATAACTTAATATAAATTATAAACTATCGACTTTTTTCTACTTATAAACCGATAAATAAATAAAAAAAACTTAATTAAATTTTTAAAGTATACCTCCGTTATTATATAAATTATAACCAAAATAATTAAATAATATTATTATTAATAGCTTAGTTTATATATAATAGCGTAATTAATAAAAATATAAAAAAATCCCCTTTTTACTTTAACTACGGATTTTAATTAATTATATATAAAAAAGTATATAAAGGATTATAAGTTATAAAAGCCGTAGTAAACGTAAATAAACTTAAGAAAATTTAAAAAAAAGCTTTTTTAAATTTTAAGTTTATATAATAGCGTATAAAAAAATACGTTAATAAATTAAAAATTAATAAACTAATTTTAAAAAAAAGAAATAATATATATTTCCTTCGCCGTAATATTAAAATAAAACGACTAAACGATAAATTAAATTATAAAAAACTTAAACCTTTCGAAATTATTAAAAAAGTTTTATTAATTAATTTTAAATTAAAACTCTTAAATACGATATAATATTACCTAGTTTTTTATATTTTATTTTTAAAACCGGTATTTAAAAGCTTATATATTAAAGATCGTATTATTATTAAACTTAATAAATTAAAATATAAAGTCGAACGAGTTATTAATTACTAAATTAAAAAAAGATATAAAAAATACCTTATTAAATAAAAAGATTATAAATACAAAAATAATATATAAGAACTTATTATAAACTTTTAAAACTCTTAATAACTTCTTAAGGAATATTAAAATTAAATTTAAACTTAAAACTCTTAATTATTATAGCGTTTTAATTAATAATATTAAAAATATTATTAACTTATACTTCTTAAGTTATTAAGGAAATACTCTTAGTATCCTTAAGAAATTCCTTTAATACGATACGACTTTTTTTAAATACTATTCGTTTTTAAAAATAAAAGCGTTTTAATTTAAATAATAACTTATTTAATTTAATTTAAGCCTGTTAATAAGCCTTAGCTTTTTTTTATAATTTTATAACTTTTTTTTAAAACTATGATTTTTTTTATTTATTTTTTATAATTAAAACAATCGGACTTTATTATTAAACGATTTACTATATTTATTAATTAAGACTTATAAAAAATAATCCTTAAGAAACTTATAAATATAAATAATATTAATAAACATATCGTATAAAATACTTAAATAATAATATATTCCGTAAATATTAAAATTAAAAAAAATTAAATAACGAATATTTTAAAAACGATAATTTAAATACGGTATTATTTTTATATTTTTATTAAAAAAATAAATAATATATAATAAACGGCGACGAGACGTAACTATTTATAATTTCGATTTTTTAATTTAATTTAATATAATATTAATATATTTTAATAAAAAATACTTAACGATTCTTTAATTTAAAAATAAATAACTTATTTATAGGCCTAGGGACTAGATTTTTAAAAAGAAGAGCTAATATTATAACTTAATACGTATTATTAAATTAAGGCCTTGTTTTATAAGACCTATAACGGCTATTATATTATATATATAATAATAAAAACTTAAACGGCCTCTTTTAAGATAAAAAAACTATAAATAAATTATATAATTATAATCGTACGATAAAATAAAAAATAAACGCTTATAAATAAATAAAATAAGCGATTATAAAAATATAGGACGGACGACCGCTTAATAAACGATTAGATAATAATAAATAAAATATTATAAAAAATATATTTACGATTAGGATTTATATATAAAATAGCTTAAGTTAGGCTTAAGGATAGACTTTTATAACTTTTTTAATAATTAATTTTTATATTAAATTTAACGATCGCTTTTAATTATTTTTATTAAGAATTTATTTAATAAGACTACGATTAATTACTAAAACCTTATTTATTTTATGATTTATAAATAATAGTTTTATTAAAGCTATTTTTATGACGACTATTATTTATAAATATCGTAACCTTGACTTTTATTAATATAAACCTTATTACGACTAGCTAGCCGTAATATTTATTTTATAATTATTAATATTAAATAGAAGATTTAAACCTCTATATAATTTATATAAAGTGAGTAATACTATAGTAAAAAGATATACGATTAGTTTAATAATTAATACGTAATATAAAAATCGAGATCGGTACGATATAAACTAAAGAGGATATTATATTATAAATATTATTAGTTCTTAAATATATATTATATAGGTAAATATATAAGTGATTATATAAGTAATTATATAGGTAATTATATATTGTTATGTCACCTATATATATTATATTAATTTTTTTAATCTTTTTATAAATACTAAAAATTATTTTTATTTATTTATAACTCCTTTACGTAAACTTTTTTTTCTTTTTTTTAAATAGTAAAGTATTCGAATTTAAAAACTTAGTTTAGGAGAGTTAGATCGAAAGTTTTTTAAGATAAAGGAAAATAATCTTTTATAAGCGGTATTTTTAAATATTTAGTAATTAGTTTAAACTAACTACCGTATTAATTAAAAAAGATATTTAGAATCTTATAGTCCTTATTTAAGATTTTATGAGATTATTTTTAAATTCTTACTAGGCTTAGGAGAGTTATTTAATCCTAATTATCCGTATTTTAAAAAATATAAAAGATATCTTTAATTATTTTTTAAACGGGGATGCTTTAAAAATAATAACTTTTTCGTTTTATATAAAATATAAAACTACTTAAATAAGTCTAAAATATTAATCGCTTAAATATTTTATTTTTATAAAATTAATATAATATTTTTAAAAATAAATTAAAAGACTTATTACCGGCGGTTTATTTTAATTACGAACTATTTTAAAAACTTTATATTATTTTTAATTATTATTACGTTTTAAAAAAAGTAAAGGATATTATAAAGGAAAATTTCTTTAGTTGTAAAAAAGTTTCAAGTTAATAAGAGCTTTTTAGTTCCTTTAAGGATCTTATAAAGATAGAGAATTTTATTTATTTATATTAAGAAATAGTAAAAAATTAAAAGCTTAGCTTAGAATATTTTAAATATAATAAGCTAAATAGCCTAGAACTTAATATATAAAATAATTAAGGTTTATTAAATAATATTAGTATTAAAATCAAAATTTAAGACTATTTTAACTAAATATACTTTTTATATTTAGGAAAGGTAATCCTAAATAATCTTTTATATCGTTTTTGTTAGACGGACTGGGGGGGATGTGTACACAGATCCCGGTGATAAGTTGGTGATCAAAGAAGTGATTCTATTCTGTGATGCTCTTCCTAAGTTCGTATAATAGGGAAAGTGTTTCGGAATGTGTCCTCGTACGCGACCAGAGCTGGTCACGTGTCGGAACATCTACGTGACTGAACAGAGGTTTAGTCACTCTTAATATACCGTACGTTTAGTCCCAGTTGTTGTTATTCCAATAGTTTTAATATATATAGGAAGTATAATAGTATCCTTGTTATTAAATATATTATCTTTAATAAAATTAATAGCGAGTTTTTTATTATTAATACTTATTTCGGTATTGCTAAGGTTATTAAATATAATAATATTATTTTATAATAAGTTATTAATTTATATATTAAATTAAAATAAATAAGTACTTTTTTATATATTATAATTTTATTAATAAAAGATTTTAAATATAAGAAAATAATTATATTAATATTCTTTATTCTTTTAATAGAGTTTTTATTTTTATTTTTATTAATCGGCCGTTAATATATTTTTAAAGTTGTTTATTACTTTTAACTTTTTTATTTTTTAAGAAAGCTATATATTTATTATAATTTAGCGATTATAAATAATTTTTTATATTTTTAATATATAATTAATACGTTTTTAGGATTTAATAGTATTAAGGTTATTAAAGTAATTTATAAAGATTTTACGCTTATTACCCGCCTTAAGTAGCTAAGATAGGCCTAAATAATAATTATTATATAAAGTTATTATATTTCTTAAAAATAATTTACTTTATTTAAAAATAAAAAACGATATAATAGCGTTTATAAAAATATTTATTTAAAAAATTTATAAAAAAAAAGTCTTAATTTAAATTA